TTTGGGATGTAAAGGAAAAGAAGCTGGCGCAACACTACATCGTTCATGGAGGTGCGAACTTGGATCGTTCGGAAGCTTATAGCTTACTCATTTGGATTCCACAGACTGTTGCCTGGATGTGGATTGGTTGACCGAAGATACCTTTGCAAGCTGTGGTGCAGACAAACGTATCAATGTCATGAAGCTTGGAATCGAGGAGCCTATAAAGACCTTTGAGTACGTTTACAAGTCCGAGTGATAACTGTCTTACTTATAATCATTTCAGCGGACATCAGGACGAGATTAACCAGATCCGCTCCAATCCCTCGGGTACACGACTAGCTTCATGTTCAGACGACCGTACCGCCCGGATATGGAGAGTTGACAACATCTCAGTTTCAGTCGATGATGATGCTATCCCGGGCTTGGGCTCTCCAGCGGGCGATGTTGTGATTCTTGCTGGCCACACACACCCGGTGAGCGTTGTCCAATGGCGTCCGAAGACCATGAATGGCGCACATGAGATTGTGGCGACAGCATCGTTTGACAATACCGCCAGAATATGGGATTCGGTCACTGGGGAGTGCCTGCATGTCTTTGACGATCACAGACGTCCAGTCTACGCTCTGGCATTCAGTCCGGATGGCCAATTCGTCTCGACAGGCGGTGGCGATGGCCTTTTCATCATCTACGACATGAAGGTGAGCCGTTCTCGAACTTTCGGTCATGACTCTTGCCTGAACGAATGCTGTGTAGACCTATGAGCAGAAGTGGGTGTGGTATGCTGGGGCTGACAAGCCTGGTGTGTTCGAGATCGATTGGCAAATGCAAGAGGGTGTCAACAGGGTCGTGCTCGCCTTGGAAAGCCGACAGGTTGCGGTGATCGATATTTCCAAACTCCCCTCGCTCGGAACGGCAGAGTATCAACAAGCCCGACAAGCGATGCTATCCACATCTAGTCTAATAGCACCGGCAAAGTAATCACTTGAATAATGTACCTTAGTCTTGCTTATACTTTTTTTGACCCGTTGTTGAGGATTTGCCGATTTGTCAGAGGCTTTCGAAATTCGAGGCCTTTCCGTCGATGCCGTTTTCCCGCGCCGCGTTGGTGACGTTGCCTGTCAGTTGGCGCCGGTTATATAGGCCCCTGACGCAACGCCGACCACCCGAATTTCTACCACTTTCTATCATCAACCATGCAGCGAGTTCCTCTGTCGACGTTGCGACACCTTGCATCGCCAACGGCTCGCAGCTTACGACCTAGAGCATCGCGACTATTCGCGCATAGCTCAGCAAACAACTTCAGCACCTTTAGGCAGAGCAATATCTTGAATACCCTCAAGAGCGAAAAGGCCAAGTGGAGTTCGGCAACCGTTGGGCTGTTTGGGAAGGGAGCATCTCGAAGTCTCTATACCGAACCTGTCGTGCAGAGAACACAGTTTGACTGGAAGAGATTTGGTCTGACGGCGGTAAGCATTTCAACACTCAGGCTTGAGCCAAGTTCAATCCTTGACGATTTCGACAGGCAGGAGTAGCTGGAGCAGTCGTCGCTGTCAATGCCGTCTTCAATCGCGATACTCGTGAAGGTCTTAGTGCAGGCGAACAGGAATACCTGCACTCGACTTTCAAGTACACTGGTGGAGGCCTTGCTCTTACGGCGTTGGCGGCTCGTGCCATGTTCTCGAGAGGTCTACCTTTGAGGCTCATGGCCGCCAATCCATGTGAGTACCATCACTTTCGCTGCCGGGGTTGTTGCTAATACCTTGCAGGGGTGGTCCTTGGTGTCAGCTTAGTGGGTAGCATCGGGTCGATGATGGGAGTGTACTACACCGCACCTGAGAACACCGTTCAAAAGCACCTCTTCTGGCTGGTAAGTCTTGTCGATCCTCTTTCACAAAGTCCAATTCTCAATCCTGCCAGGCTTTCAATGGCTTCCAAGCTGCGACTCTGAGCCCCCTCTTCTTTGTCAACCCTGCCATCCTTTCCCGTGCAGCCCTCTACACCTTTGGAACCGTCGGCGCCTTGTCATATATTGGAGCAACAGCCAAGAACGAGACTTTCCTGTACATGGGAGGACCTCTTCTTGCTGGTGTTACCGTCGTCGCTCTCAGCTCTTTGGCGCCTATGATCCTCCCCTCTATGGGCATGCGTGCACTCGCCATTACTGAGTCAATCTCATTATACGGAGGTTTGGCTGTGTTCGGAGGCTTTGTGCTCTACGAGTAAGTCGTTGCCTGGACTCCTATAGTTGCGTTGGCTGATGCCTTTGCAGCACTCAAAAGATCTTGAAGCATGGACGAATGGTGGAAGCTGGTGTTATGAAGAGCGACCCTCTCAGGGAATCCATCAGCCTGCAGCTCGACATGATCAACATCTTCGTTCGCCTGGTGCAGATCTTCGGCATGCAGCAGAGCAAGAGGAAGTAGATGGTCTCGAGACATTTGACTTTACCTTCAAAAACGTTCCTCACACATGTAGCCACTAGTAGTTAATAAATGTATCATTAATCCCCTTCTAATCAGCACATGAACCAATCCAGATCAGGCTTTGCCCAGCGTTTCCAACTGCTGGAGGAACGTAGCCGGATCGACAATGTCCGTACCACCATAGGTAATTCGCTTGCCAGACTTTGACGCCCACTCTTGCAGGTTCCCAAACTCAACGTAACCTGCACCTCCAATGATGAAAACCATGGCTTCATTGAAGGCCATCCTCCTTGCCCTCCCAACTCCACTTCCTCCTGCACCTCCGGGCATCTGAACGTGCTTTGGCGCTCTAGGATCCAAAAAGATGTACTCGTCCGTCTCGGCCAACGACTGGTTCGACGCAGCCGACGAATCCATCAAGGCCTCTGTAAGCCTCGCCACAGGGAGCAGCTTGTTGGTCGGCAAGAGGTTCTTGACACCCGAAAGCAGATTATCAAACCCTCCTTCCTTCAACCTATCCGTGAGCCTGTTACCGAGAGCACTAAAGCCCTTGAACAGCTCCCCTCCCTGACCAGCCACACTACCCAAGTTGGGCGTCGAGCTGCCCGTCGCACCACCACCCACATTCACCGAACTTGTCATCCTCAAAATCTCCCTCGTCTTGCGCACATATTCGAATGCCGCTACTTCAGCACCGGCGTTCTTCAACTCCTTTTGAATCTCGCTGATATCGTCCTTGGTCAATGCGTTATCAGCAGACGACAGGTAAAAGACAATCGCAAGACGGAGCTTGTCGAGGGGTGAAAACACGGCTTCGGTGTCTGGTTTGGGATTGGACGAGCGGAGGATTTCGAGAATGGATTGGATGGATTGTTTGGAGATGGCTTCTTCGGTGCTGAAGAGTTCGTCGAGCCCGCGTTTCTTGATTTGGGTGAGGAGGGCGGTGGCCATGTGCATGTGGGTGTCGAGGGTTGCTTTGCGAGCGGTAAGCTCGGGGAGTTGGGTGATGGCTGCCTTAAGATGGGCTGCGTTGGCGGTGAGGTCTCTGATACATGCAGCTCAGCAAATGGGGGATGAGAAGTGGGGAGGGGAGAGGACGTACAGTTGAGATATATCATTGGCGTCAGCTACACCTGTGCTCCTGGTGATTTCAGCAGCATCTTGCTTGTACTTGGTAAGTTCTGCATCGATCTCTTCGGCAACCTGAGGGAACGGGTGCGAAGCGTTTCGAGCCCAGAAAAAGTCTTTCGAGTCCAAGTCAAAGGTACGCTTTGGATCTTGCCCTTCGGCTGGGATCGTCACACGGTTAAGCTTGAACTCGAGGCAGTCAGAGACAAGAGCTTGGTACGTCCATCCGTGAGCCAGAGGGGAGACGAGGTCAACGTTCCTGTCCATGATAAGCAGAACTAGTGATCAAAGATTCAGTATCGTTCAACGAGTTGCTCAATTGGAGACACGTACGCGGTCGTTGGAGGTTTGAAAGTCCTGTGGAGTCCTGTGAGAACAGGGCAGCTGACGGATTCGTCGGCCTCGAAGCAGAGAGGATTGCATCCCGAATCTTCATTTCGAGACGTTTGGCTACCATCTCTGCTGCACCGTTCCGAGGTGCGCGAATGAAGGGGACGTGGCCTGATGTGGCGACTGCGGCGAAGAGTCCATTGGCTACGCGTTCGACCTCTTCCTCGATTTGTTGTTCGGAGGAGGAAGGGGAGTTGAGAATGGTGTAGGTAGTGGCCCGAGTGATGGGCTCTTCTTGGGGTGGAGAGTTTGCATGTACTGAGGGTGGAAGTGGAGGCGGTGGGAGCAAGGAGAAGAGTGAGGGTGCTGGGGAGATGAACGACAGGTATTGGTCGACAACCTGAACGAATGAGAATGGACCTGCTGTATGATTCTACCAAACTCACTTGTTCAATGAGTTCTCCAGTTCCATCCTGGGCTACGGATGCAGCCAGTTCCTCAAGCAAGGATCGAGGTAGGGGATCTACAAAGTTGAGATGGAAGCTCTCATACAGATTCTTGCGCAAGTCCTCTGATATCCGTTTGATATTCTGTAAGGTGGGTGTCACAAAGTACACAGCAGGAACATCAGGCAGCGCTGGACGCAAAGAATGTAATTGCCTAGTGTCCTTCCTCCATTCAGAATCCGTATTGACAAGAGATGAAAGTGACTGTGCTTACACGTGTAGCGTTACCCCGACATCGCGCAGATCTTGCACCCGTAGAATCGTAGCTAGGACATCCTTGGTTTGCTGGTCAAGAACGAGAATCTTCCATACTGGAGGCCCAGAGACTGGTGGTGTGTTCAGTCCTGCCGCCTGTTTCCCCTGTGCTCCTGCAGTGGTCTGGCTATCCAGAGGCTGGTTGAGGTTCAGCAAGGCCAATAGGGCATTGGTCTGAGCCTGCTGTAGCGACGGTGTCGTCGAGGCCTAGAGAGTCTGTCAGCTACGCAAATCTTGCATGATAATGGATTAAGACTGGCCTGCTTGGTGAGGGTTGACATGAGAGAGAGGGAATCACGGTGGAATGAGCGGCGCGTCAAGCCAATGGCCCGCTTGGTCGCCCTACTTGAGTATATATTTGCTTACATCTTGTGTGACACCGATGGTGAAGTGGTTATCATGCTTGCCTTCCATTGAACGGGAATCGAACGGGAATCGAACCCGTCGGTAGCAAGCGGCACGGGTTCGATTCCCGTTCGGTGTATACGTTTTGTTCCCAGGAATTCCCTTTTTTTTTCTGTGTTTAATATCCCTTCATGACTGGGATAAATCATTTTCACTTGTTTTCCTGGGGAGGAACAAGGAGGAGCCGTGAATTTTGCTTGGGTGAGGGTTGATGCCCGGCGCCTTTATAGTGAGCGTAACCATGTTGTCATTGGGAAACCTTGTTTTTCTCAAAGCCAAGTCCAGATCCTGGTGTCCTGGCAATGAGTGCAATTGTGTAGCCCAGTAACTTGCGCCTTTACCTCCGCCTCGCTCACTATTGAACTTTTGAAATTGACCTCTACACAATCACGGATCTGTGGATAAAAGGCCTCGGAAGTTATCCAACCTAACCCCGTATGGCATTATGATGTTGGTTCAACTTTGAGAAGCTAATTTCCCTTTTCTTCAATGATTACAGCCTCAACCTTCTGCTAGATACCCTTTTTTACGACCCCGGACGATACCATGCAACGTCGCCAGGCGGTGCACGCTAGGCATAATGACCATACCAGCGAAACCCCACCACAACCACCAGCCAGCAGTCCAGCACCTGGCAGCCCTCCAGCTTCGAATTCGCCAAGTGGTGGTGCAGAATCTTCAGCAGGAGCAAACCCAGGAGTCACAGGAGGCCAGCCAGCACCTAGCCAGGGCTCTCCGTCGTCGCCAGCAGGCTCGACTCCCGGCGATGGTGGCCAGCAAAGCTCGACAACCGTCGTGGTACCGACAAACGGAACTATGGCTACGACTCTAACGACTTTGATTCCCATTACGACTGTGACGCAACCGTCTACGACCTTTACTTCCTTCTCAGAATCTCTTATCACGACCAATGTACCAACATTCTCGATCTCGTCAACGAGCTTCGAGAGCGCGACACCCACTCCAATCGCTCAGGATGACCCAGGCTCTGTGTTCTCGCAGACATGCATCGGGCAAGGCTTCGATGCAGCGTCAATCGGTATCCTCACGTCGCTCATCGTTCCTGGCCTCATCGGAATTATTCTCTGGGTGCGTACACGCCCCTGAGCGCGATAGACACGATGCTTACCCGCGTCTAGATAACCTTCGCCATGCTGAGGCCACGTTTCCGTCAAGTCTACGCGTTGAGGGAATGGTTTGTGCAGGAAGGGTGAGGATTGGCGTTTATCGTTCTGAAAGTCTCTCTGACGAATCTACCGCAGCCTTCGCTCCAAGCATCTCGGAAATGGTTTCTTTGCATGGCTCAATCCTCCAGTTCCACTTCGACCACCTGTCCCAACCGACGTTTCTGACGCAGGACGCTCGACCGCCACCGACGCAAAGCTTTTCCCATCTGATGAGCAACTCAGCCAGCGTGCACTGTGGGTTGCTCTGCTTGTCGCTCTTGGATGGTCCGTCCTGGCTCTCGCAGGTGCCCTCCCACTCTACATGGTTGGGACACCCTGCCATGGCGATCGTCCCAATCCAGCTGTCTACGGCGGAGGTTATTCGACACTCACCGATCTAAGCCTTCTTCGTCTTTTGAAACTCCTCGAGACCGAAGATGTCTCGATCTTGAGCAACTCGCGCGTTGCACGGAGAGCGTTGGTGGACGACCAATACCGATCAAGAACGAGGATCATCGTCCTCACCGCTATCGCCATCGTCTTTGGTGTTTTACCTGCCTTGTGGAAGATCATGAAGGAATTCAACAATGTCGCGGCTTATCGACAACGGTGGTTGCAAGTCAGATGCGAGAATACCGATCTGGGGTGGCTCAAGGCATCCAGGGCACCAGGGTTCGCCAACTGGGGAGAAACCAGATTCAAAGAGTACCTTGTCCAGATTGGATTGAGCTCACGGCTCGGAGAGGCAGCCAAGAAGAAGAAGGAGAAGGGAACGCGTCGGAATGGACGAAATCGACGACGCGAAGAAGAGCTGCCTCTCAATAACGAAGAGTCCAACCTGGAAGTTGATATCCATAGCTTGTTCTCCATCACGTACGTTGCTCTTTTAAAACGACTGGAATTTCACTAATCTCGTTTCCAGTGATACAGAGGCACTGGCTGTGATGATCGACAAGAGAGAAGAGATCCTTGACAATCTCGAGATTGCAGAGACCAAATACATTAGCATGTTCCGTGTCACCACGCCCGATCCATCCATCCTGGACTTTGCAATCAACGCGCCTCCTCCAGATCCCAGCAAGCCATACATCAGTCGACCCCTTCCCCTAGCACCCCAGCGTCGGAGTAGAGGGGCCCGCCGGATGAACAGAGCATACGGCGCGTCTTCCTTTGTCGCCCCGTCCTCGTTCTACAGACTTCGAAGTCTGCGAGGAGTAAGCGGCGGCCGATTCACAGATTCTGGCCTAGACCAAACCTTGGCTGATTCCTTCCAATCTCGTGTCATTGGAAGCAGGTTCATGGAAGTCAACAGAAACTCTCAGCACTACGGTCGCCTTCCCCTCGGCGCCCATGTCGGACTCGAAAGGGATGGTGAACTAGGTCCTCTCTCCGACACGGGCAGCTGGCTTCCACCTATCCCTGACCCGCGCTACCACGGTCCCAATTACCAACCCTACGAATTCGAGGGTGTAGATGAACATGGCGTGTTTCATCATGCGCAACACGACAACGGCGGCGCAGAGACGACGATTGCCGAGGAGACGGAAGAGGAATGGGTAGATCTCAGAAGCGAGAACCCGCGAAATGAATGGGGGACAGAGGTTAATGGAACACCACCTGGTACTTTTGAACGGCGGCCTCGTCCACCTCCCAAGGACTATGCGCCCTCTTCGAGACGCGAGACCTTCCCCATCCGAAGAGACGAACCTAAAGATGCCGACTATGTCCCACCTCCCCATCTTCGTCTACAGCCTTCCCAGCCATTTGTGCGTCCTCTCGAGGGTGTCAACTTTGACGATCTTGGCGGCATCTACAACGATATCACCGTGTGGCGATCTGAACTCAAGTCGATTAATCAGGAGATTGCCGATATGCAAACTCAGAATTACCTGGACATTGCAAACGGACAGGGTGTCAAAGGCTGGTTGATGGTCGGAAAAGGGTTGAGGCATATTCCTGGAGTCGAGTTGATTGAAGGCAGAGCTAAAGAAGACATTCGGTGGGATGTCCTGCAGCATCAGAGAACGTGGCTTGATACCGCCGTCCTTTGGGCCGTCGTTGCGGTGATCATAATCCTTTTGGCCGTAGGAAGTGAGATTCATTGTTCATCTATGTGAGGTGGCTCGCTGACTGTGTGTGTTACTAGTGGCCGCCGCAATGGGTCTATCGCTTGCAATGGCTCCAGACTTTGCGCACTACTTGCCCTTCCTAGAGCCCCTTCTCAGAACACATCCCATCGCCGCAGGAGTGGCTACTGTCTTTGCCCCCGCGGTTGCAGCCACCATCTTCATACTCATTGCCATGTACCTCGTTAATCGTGAGTCGTCACTTTTCATATTAGTCGCCATGTCATATGATGGAATGAATTCCAGGGGCGGCTAAAATTCATGGATCGGTATCTGTCTCTGGGAACCAGCTCCTGGTGTTCAAGATCACGTTCTGGGTCTTGACATTTGTTGGCACCCTCTGGCTAGTGGGAATTGGCGCCCTTTTATACTCCATGCGCGCCCTCAACACCGAGGAGGGCGAGACCAAATCCGTTGCAGATGGGGCGATTTACATGAGCATCCTTGCCTTGGCGCTGGTTCTCAATGTGGCCATCATCGTTCCCGCATGTCTTTTGCTACAACCTTTCCGTTTATGGCGTATCACCCGCTCGGAAAAAGAGTCGTTCACACCAAGACAGCGCTTCAGAGGTGGGTGTCTGATCAATTTTTTTTTGCTCGTCTTCTTTGACTGATGGGATGGCTACTCGTATTCTTTAGCAACCTTCCCAAGAACGTACAACCCGTCATATGCCATGGGGGCATGCATCCTCGCTATCGTCTTCGCTTCGACATTTGCTTTGATATTCCCTTTGATAGCCCCGGCGGTGGTACTATTCCTACTTCTGACTCTGATAGGTAAGGCAGCCTTACGAAGACATCAAACCTTGTCCACTCACTCGTCTTCTCATTAGCACACCGTTATCTCGTTGGCTATGTCTACGTGAGGACGCACTCTCAGACCGGAGGAGTACTACAACTATGGCTCCTGAAGCGCTTTGGAAGCCTGCTCTCATTCCAGCCCATTCTGATGGGACTCATCTTCCTCACCCGACATCTATGGATAGAGGGTGGCGTCCTAGTTGGCGTCGGCGTCTTTGTGGTGCTCTTCGTAGAGAGCTACTGTGCCTGGAAGACCCGGCTTCCCGGCTACAAGACTCTCAACCCTACCACTCGCCAATCAGTGGAGCAATTCGCCAGTGGAGCTGACACGTACCTCGATCCTGACAGGATGGTCACGCCCGCCAATCTCAGCAAAGCGGACGTGTTAGAAAACGATGGCGTGCGTTCGAGTGTCGTCCGAAGTGAAGGCATGCGAACATTAGGCTCCTTTGCCTCGGTTTTGGACTTGATGAGTCGAACCCTTGCGGTCGCACCTTCATCTTCAGCCTATCGTGGAGCTGTACCACTTGGTACGTTGCGATTCTGCCGGCATGAAAGGGATTCTATCTAACGATTGCAATCTCATTTAGACACGGAAAACCTTAATGATCTGACGGCGACGGAGCGGGCAGCGCGAACACATCCTGATGCGCCACCTCGACTACCCCCTCTGCCTTTCACCGAACATATCGATGGCATGGTCGGCGTTCTGTACGCACCTGAACTCACAGCGCCTCCCCCTACCATCTGGCTGCCGAACGACACCGCGGGAGTAGCCCAGTCCGAAGCGGTCGACCTTGAGCGCTATCACGAACTGCACGTCACTATTGATGTGAGGGCCAAGGAGGATCTGCACCTTCGCCCAACGACGTCACGGCGGACAAATTCCTAGCTTTTTCCGTTGCCTCTTCGTTTTTGTTGCTTTCCTTCATTCATTCAGCCACCTTACTATTAATCCGCTTTAGACACTCACAAGGACACTTAAC